GCAGCGCCCAGGGCGGCAGCCGACGTGCAATCCAGGGAGACAGAGACAGCCCCAGGACGGGCATGCAACGGTGCAACCAACGAGCCTGAGGACAGGCACCGAGGAGACCAAGCGCAGCCAAAATGGCGCGTGAGGCGTTCCCAGAAGTCCAGATGCGGACAGAAAGGAACGTTCCCGAGGACAACGATCCAGGGAGCCTGACGGGTACCACAGACTGACTGGGACATAAGTCCAGCGAGAATCCTGGCGGTGACACGAAGTCGCGACGCCAGAACGCGCATCTAGGGTGTGGAGCGTGACAGGAGAGCCTTCCACAACTGTGATGCGTCAGCCCAGATCCAACGAGTGGAGGGGCGCCGTAGTGCACGATACACGGTCGACAACGTGGCGTGTGCACATCCAAAGTGTCTCAGCGCTACCAGACCGAGTGCTGGTGGGATACGTGAGGCGTCAAGCATTGCAGCGCCCGGATCTCCGTGTAACCGCATTCTTCGTAGACGCTGGGCATCCCGCAGGTGGGCCCTCCCGCCCCCAGCATCGGCCGCGGAGAAGCCGAGCGGCGCCCTGCCTGGGCGGCCTCCGCCTGCCAGTCCCTCGCCCCCCCCCCTCCGCACCGGGTGAGCGTCCTGCGCCCAGGCAGCAAGAGCTCTGCATTAGCATGAAGTCGGGCACGTCCCCCTGCAGGCCGATCTTGCACGAAAAATTGCGATTAGTCAGAAAATACCCTAACAAAAATACACTAAAAATCGTTCCCTGGCGATTTTCTTTTGTTATAACAATTTTTTGATATTCCGCCTGTGGAGGGATACGCCCGACTTAACATTAGCACCTCTCCTCCCCCCCGCTTCCTGAGGGCGTGGCGACTTTTCTAGAAGAAGACAAAACGGCACAAAAAGAAACTTTTGGTGCTCCGCGCGGATTTCTTGGATCTGCGCTGGACCCCCCTCCCTGGCGCGCGGAGCGCGCCAGGGGCGGCGCCGGAGGCGCCGCCGGGGGGGCCGAGGCGCGGATCCAAGAAATCCGCGCGGAGTGCGAAAAGTTTATGTTTATGGCGTTTTTTCTTTTTCAACTTTCCCCCATCGGCCTGCGGGTGCGAAGCCAGGTGAATCGTGGAAGGTCCGGACAAGTCGAGGGAACTCCTGAGGTCGTTGAAGCTCCAGCGCGAGCCGAGGGATGGCAGAAATTGTCATGCCTCGAACGACGCGCTTGAACCGGAAACCACAACAACAACAACAACAACAACAACAACAATCATTTAAGACTGGGGACACTCCGTTCTCACCAGTGCCAGGGTTTTCATAGGAGGCGGGCAATACCCCCACTTTGTGGGGGGGCCGGTTCAAGCTCTACCAAATTTCCAAACGACTCTTCGCCACCACCCACACCCAGCTTCCCGCCCTATGACGTTCGGACACTTCACTTCGTGGCATGCGGACGACCGTGGCTACTATTCAGGGCCCCGCGGCCGACGACGACGGCGTGCGCGCGCGAAGAAAAAACGAATGTGTCCCGCATGGTATTATTTGACAGGGATGATGGCCCTGGCAGGTGCGCAACCGTTGTCGCAGAAGTTCGAAAAAGTTGCTCGCAAAAGCCCGTTTGACAGAAATGTTTAAAAAGTGTTGGGTTTCCTACGAATCCGCAAGAGCGCGCGGGATGAGATTTTGACATTTTTTTGTTGAAAAACCATTGGTTTTTTGATGTTTTTATGTTAAAATCGCTCCGAACACTAAGCTTTTGGAAGGATTTCGTCTTGCGCGCGCGAATGTCCACTTTACCTTATTTTTTGCAAGGGATTCTTGAAATTTGATTATATTAGAACAAGAAATGTCATTTTATAGTGTTTTTTGCAAGGGAAAACGGATTACAACAAAACAACCGGATCTGGATCACATCGTTTTACCTGAGGCTTCCTCACGAAAATGATGAAAATGTGGCTGCGGCCTAGGCGCGGCGAGGGGGGCGTGCACCAGGGGGCCCAACAATAATTATTCTTTAGAAGTAATAATATTCAACAACAAGAACAAGAACAAGGTTGACACGTGCTCTTGTTGCCCGTTCACCGGGAAACTTGGTCAATGCTTGTCCTTAAAAGGGCAACCCGTGACCTTGCTGCCCGGGGGTAAGCAAGCCACCCCCCCGGCAACCAGCAACCAACAACCTCGGGCTCCATTCCTCGCTCCGCTGTAACTTCGCTTGCTTAAGGGTGTGAACTCCTGCTTCTACGCAATGTTTCCATGTCTGCTCCAGCGAAGCTCCAGAATCTATAGGCTCCTATATGATCCTAGCAAATCCTACAGGAATCCTACAAGGATCCGATAGGGATCCTATAGGGATCCTATGCGGTCCTATAGAATCCTGTAGGGATCCTCTAGGAACCTGTGGGGATTCTATAGGGATCCCATGCGATCCTGCAGGACCCTAAAGGAATCGTATAGGGATTGTATAGGAATCCCATGCGATCCTACAGGATCCGATAGGCATCCTATAGGGATTGTATAGAAATCCCATGCAACCTAGAGGGATCCTATAGGGATCCTGTGCGCTCCTAGGGGGTCCTATAGGGATCCTATAGGATCCTCTGGGGGTTCTATAGGAATCCCATGCGATCCTGCAGGATCCTATAGGAATCGTATAGGGATTCTATAGGAATCCCATGCGACCCTGTCGGATCCCATAGGAATTGTAGAAGGATTGTATAGGAATCCCATGCGATCCGATAGGATCCTATGGGAATCCGATGGGGATTGACTGGAATCCCATGCGATCCTGTAGGGTCCTATAGGGATCCTATAAGGTTCTATCGGAATACCATGCGACCCTGTAGGATCCTAAACGAATCGTGTAGGGATTGTTTAGGAATCCCATGCGATACTATAGGAACTAATCGGGATCCTATAGGAATGCATAGGAATGCCCATGCGATCCCAGGGGATCCTATAGGAATCCGATAAGGATTGTATAGGAATCCCATGCAACCCTGTAGGATCCTATAGGAATCGTATAAGATCCTACAGGAATCGTATAGGGATTATATAGGAACCCCATGCGATCCTCGAAGATCCAATAGGACTCGCACGCACCACAAGGATTGTATAGGAATCCCATGCGATCCTGTAGGATCCATGGGGATCGTATAGTGATTGTATTGGACTCCCACGCGATCCTATAGGATCCTATAGGAGTCCTATAGGGATTGTATAGGAATCCCATGCGATCCTGTAGGATCCCATAGGGATCCGATATGGATTATGCATAATTCCCATGCGATCCTCGAGGGGTGTGTGGGGGGCTCCCAGTGGCGCCAGGGCCACGATCATCGAGAGGGGTGTGCCGAAATGAACATTCGGTGGAGCCCCCTGTGGGGCCAGGGCCACGGTCCTCGAGAGGGGTGCGCCGAAATGAAACTTCGGTGGAGCTCCCTGTAGGGCCAAGGCCACGATCCTCGAGAGGGATGTTCCGAAATGAACCTTTGGTGGAGCTCCCTATGGGGCCAGGGCCACGATCCTTGAGAGGGGTGTGCCGAAATGAACCTTCGGTGGAGCCCCCTGTGAAGCCAAGGCCACGATCCTCGAGAAGGGTGTGCTGAAATGAAACTTTGGTGGAGCTCCCTGTGGGGCCAGGGCCACGATCCTCGAGAGGGGTGTTGAGCTCCCTGTGCGGCCAGGGCCACGATCCTCAGGAGGGGTGTGCCGAAATGAACCTTCGGTGGAGCTCCCTGTGCGGCCAGGGCCGCGATCCTCGAGAGGGGTGTGCCGAAATGAACCTTCGGTGGAGCTCCCTGTAGGGCCAAGGCCGCGATCCTCGAGAGGGGTGTGCCGAAATGAACATTCGGTGGAGCCCCCTGTGGGGCCAGGGCCACGATCCTCCTTGATGGTTGTGCCGAAATGAAACTTCCGAGAACCCCTTTGTGAGGCCAGGGCCACGATCCTCGAAGGAGGTATGCCGAAATAAACCTTCGGTGGAGCTCCCTGTGAGGCCAAGGCCACGATCCTCGAGAGGGGTGTGCCGAAATGAACCTTCAGTTGCTGGTTGCTAGTTGCTGGGGGAAGGGGGCCGGGCAACAAGGTCACGTGTCAATCAACAACGACAGCAACACCACCACCACCACCACCACCACCAACAACAACAACAACAAACACAACACCACCACCACCACCACCACCACCACCACCACCAACAACAACAACAACAACAACAACAACAACAACAGCGCACCAACAACAACAGCAGCAACAACAGCAACAACAGCAATACCAAACAACACAACAACTACACAAACAACACCAGCACACACACAAACACATCAACACACAACAACAACACCAGCAACAACAACAACAACAACAACGACAGCAGCAACAACACCAAAAGCAACAACAGCAGCAACAACAAACACATTAACAACACCAGCACCACCGACAACAACATCAAGCACAACAACATCAACAGCAACAACACCAACAACAACATCAACACCACCACCATCACCACCAAAAGCAACAACAATAACAACAACTACACCAACCACAACTACTAGACAAGCGCGTTCCACTACCGGCAAAGTAACTATTCGCAAATGGCCCCGATTCGCCGCGGAGGCTCTGCGACTAATATCGTCGAAGCAAAGATCTGTTTTTGTTCCGACGTTTGCGAGTAAGCACTTTGCGAGTAGTGCAGCGCGCTCGGCGAACGACAACAACAACCAGACAGCACATACCAGTTGTGGCGGACCTTCTCCACGCCGAATGGGCATCGCTCGTCCTGCAACCGAGGACTCTGAGGCGTGATCCCGGGCCGGGGGCAAAGGCAAGCCCTGAAGCAGCCTAGACCGTCACAGAGGGCCCAAACCTCCCACAGAGAGGCTCAACATTAAGTTTCACGATGCTCAACCTCCTGTCTCGTGGCCCCAGATCTCTCGTTGGGCAAGTGTGAGACCCCTGGACTGCAGCGTCGCCGCACTTCCGCTGGCAACCCTTCCTTCGCTCCGTGGGGGCGGCCTGCTTCGATGCGTACTTGGTCCTGTACAAGTTCACGGCTGCCGCATGCGCGTTGAGCACGTTGTGCGCCGCCACGTAGGGATCGCGGCCCTGGTCGCTGAACTCCGGGATGCCGGGGGCCTCTCAGCCGGCTGCGCCACGCGCGGCACGAGCGGCGCCAACCACCCGCCACTGCAGCCTGGTGCGCACGCGCCCTGAGACCCGACATTGCGAGAAAAAGCAACATCGCGCAACATCACGACTGGACCTCCAGACCCAATCTTTCGGCGGCAATTTTCAAGCTGGATCGATCTGCGACGGTCCTGGGACCCAAGGCTGGGCGAAACGCCTTGTGTGAAAAAAATGCGACGGCCGGGCCGCAGGGCACGCTCGCACACACGAAAATTTTGCGTCGGCGGCTAGGCAGAGTAACTGCGCTGGCGGAGAGCTACCTAAACGGGGTGCCGTTGAAGCGAATTGTGCCACTATGCAGACGGAGGGGACAGGGCAGAAGAAACAGCCGAAAGAGGAGGCGGGAGGGGAGCGAGGCCGCTCAGGGGGACGGGTCACGCCCCGAGCGCGTGGCGCGGCCGGCCCCGCCGGCGGGTCCGCGGCGGCTTCTGCACCAGGGGGCCGGCGGCGGCGGGGCGCAGTGCGGGGGCTGGGATCATCCCAGTGGACAAGAGTGCAAAACGGTCAGAGTAGAACCAACGTCCGATGGCCGCACGTTCCCCAGGGCCGGAGCGGGCGTGGTTTCCACAGTCGCGCATACGAAGACACCCTCCCAACAGCGGATCTAAATACTGTAAAACCAAGCCGCGCGTGGAACGTTGCCTGACGTCCCCTCTTCTGAGGGAAGTGCGAGAAGAAACCAATCAAGCAATGGCCGACGACACCCTCGGCCACCAACCTCAAAATGTCAAGCCTCGGCGTCCTGCAACCAACACGGCTCTTTCGCATGCCAGTCACCTTCCTAGGCGCACGCGAACGGCTGGAGTAAACTCTGATACAGGTGCTACCTGCTCGCTTTACTGTGTGTAGCACACCCCCATTATTCACTCTGAACGCGTGCCGGTCACGAAGCTGTTGCTTTCAACGAGCTGCGAAACGCAGGAGACGCACGGGTCACAATTCCAGACCCCTTGCGCTGGCTCCTGCCCAGCCCAGACGGTGCTACAAACATCCCCAAACACAATCACGACGGCTCAGCATGGGGGAAACGGGTCCTGAGTCGAACGGGTCCTTGACCCTGGGATGAGAGATCTTCACCCTGAGTCGTTTTCTCACAGCACCGAGGCCCGTGGAGGGCCTCGAGGGCCCGAAAACAGCGAAACACCTCACAGGACCCGTTGCCCTCAGGACCCGCTTCATCGCGACACGAGCGCAACCACTTGAGCAAGGACCGACCGTCCAGGCATTCCTATAGGCCGACCACGGATCTTTGCTGGAACAGAAAAACGCTCGAATAACCAAAACAAGGCTCTTAGAACACAAACCAGATGTTCTAACACAGTGCAGCCTCAGCCAGACATGTTCCAATCAGATCTCATGCAGGACACAAAAGGTTCTTAGCACATTTTCTGGTGGGCCTATAGTAGAAGCCTCCTAGATGGGGTCCGAGTAGATGGGGTCGGAAGATCGCGCCGCATCGCCAATGCATGGCCGATGTATCGGCGACGCATCGGCCATGCATCGGCGAAGTCGGCGACGCATCGGCGACGTCGGCGTGGAGAAAATCGGGCTCCGCATCGCGCCCCATCGGCGATGCATCGGCGATGCGGCAAGATCCTCGAACCCCATCTGCTCCGACCCCATCTGGGAGGACTAGAGATAGGCAGGCCAGGACGCCTCGCCAATGCTCGAACCACGACGACACTCTCACGCTCGCCGCGGGCCAGCCCCCCGCCGAAGCACACGGGAGAGGCCCACCTTTCGGCCAAATCGAGGCCGGGGCCCCTGCTTGTTGGAGCCGACCGCGCACGGGCGGCGCAGATAGCAGAGGGACGGCGACGGGAAGCGCGCGCAGGGGGGGGGGGGGGGGGGGGGGGGGGGCGTCCGCCTCCTCCTCTTCCTCCTCCTCCTCCTACCACTCTCCTCCCCCCTCCTCGCCTCCTCCTCCTCCTCAATCCGCCCCCTCCTCCCTACCCCCCCCGCCCCTCTCCCCCGCACCTCCTCGATCCTGTATCCTCATCCTCGATCCGCGATCCTCCTCGATCCTCGATCATCCAAACCTCGATCCTCGATCCTCGATCCTCCTCGATCCTCGATCCTCGATCCTCCTCCTCCTCTTCCTCCTCCTCCTCCTCCTCCTCCTCCTCCTCCTCCTCCTCCTGGGGGGTGCCAGCCGTCGCGGAGGGGGGGCGGCGGCCCGCTGGCGGGGCCTTGCCGAAGCCGGAGCCGAGGAACACGAAGGTCCTGCGGGTGGCCAGATCGCTCGGCCGCGCCCAGGGCGCACACCCGGGGGTGGGCTCCGGGCACGCTCGGCGTGGGCCTGGGTGCACGCAGACCCAGGGCAGGCCTTGAGGAGGTGGAGGAGGAGGAGGAGGAGGAGGAGGAGGAGAGAGAGGAGGAGGAGGGAGGAAGGCGGAGGAGAGGAGGAGGAGGAAGGAGGAGGAGAGGAGGAAGGAGGAGGAGGAGGAGGAGGAGGAAGGAGAGGAGGAGGAGAAGAGAAGGAGGAGGAGGAGAAGGCGGATGAGGAGAAGCAGGAGGAGGAGGAGGAGGAGAGGAGGAGGAGGATGAGGAGGAAGAAGAGAAGAAAGAGGAGGAAGGAGGAGGAGAGGAGGAGGACGAGGAGGAGGAGGAGGAGGAGGAGGAGGAGGAATATCCAGGGTGGGCCCTGGCACACCCAGGGTGAGCTCGGGCGCACTCCGGCGAACCAGTGGTGCACCCGGAGGAGCGCGGAAAGTGGAGGGGGAGCGGAAAGTGGAGGGGGACGGGACGGCGGGGAAGTGAGGGCTGGGCGGGAGAGGTGAGGGGGAGTGGAGGAATTGTGCGACATCGGCGACCAAGAACCCCACCTAGATGGGGCGAACATATAATCGAGCAACTGTGGCCCTGGCTTTTTTTTGGGTGGAATCCCATGCCGAGCACGACACCCCACGGGAGCACCTCGTCGGTGTGACCTTCCTCTGCTTCCTCCTCCCCCTCCCCCTCCTCCGCTTCCTCCTTCCTCCTTCCTCCTCTTCCACCTCCACCTCTTCCTTCTCCCCATCCTCCTCCCTCCCCCTTTTTCCTCACGCCTGCCTCTTTCTCCTTTCTCCTTTCTCGTCTTCGTCGTCGTCCTCGTCGTCGTCGTCGTCCTCCTCCTCCTCCTCCTCCTCCTCCTCCGCAGCGTCAGTCCAGGGCTCGTTGAAGGTGACCCAATACTTCACTCGATCGCCGAGGGCGTCGAATACAATGTCGCAGTAGTCGATCCAGTCCTGAGGAAGGCGGCCGCTGGGCGCGTGACTGGATGACCGACCGGCTGCGGGCAGCGGGTGCGGATGAGGTTCCGGGTGCTCCTCGGAGAAGTTCTACTGTGGTTCGGGGGGGACCCTCGGTTGTTGGGTGCTCTGGAGGGGCCTGCGAGCAAACGGAGGGGAGGGGGGGGCATGAGGCAGGAAAGGGGATCGAAAAGGAGGGGGGGGGGGGCGGAAGGGGCGCGGGAGGAGAAAAGGGCGAGCAAGACGACGGGAAGGATCGAACGCAGGGGGGGCGGCCGAGCGAGAAAGCGAGGAGAATCCCAGTCTGGCACAGGCAGCCTCCGAACCCCAGGAGGGAGGGGAAAGCACTGGTCCTGGAGCGTGGTCGCAGTCCCTGGATCTCTCTCGCTTTCTCCATCAAGCAGCAACGACAGCGAACAATGACCTTCTGGGCGACGAACTCTGTGCCACGGCGAGATGAACACGTTACGGTGGTAGCTCTTGGCAGTGGGGAGTATGCGACAGCATCAGGAAACAAGTTCTATTCCTGAAGAGATCCAGGCGAGGTTCGCACGTACGTATGGAAGGAGTAAGAGGGCATATAGCGAAGAAACGAGGAAGGTATACGACATGGCGCATATGCACCAGAAGGTGTAATTGAAGAAGTAACCCGTTGGGCGAATCACAAGAGGAATCGACAGGATGGAAAGTCATGCGGACGCGTTTGCGAGGTTCGCGGTCTATCATTGTGCGGGCCGTAGAACGGAGCCCGCGGCCTAGCCTGTCAAGTGTCGTCGGTCGTCTGTGTATAGATATATATGTGTATATAAATGAATAGAGAAACCGTCGTTCGTCGTCTGTACAACGATGTCCGCGGCCTACTCTGCTCGACATGACGGGCTCCCACGGAGAACGCAACTGGCCTGGCGTCGATGGACAGAGCGGCTCGGCAGAACAGCGGACGAGTCGTAGTGGCAGAAGCATTTGCACCGATTCGCATCAAGATCGGGCGCCTGAAACAAAAGGCTCCCAATTGTACGACACATGGGTACCCGTGTGGTCCGACGCGATGCCGTCAGCGACCATATCCCAAACGTTGGTGCGCACGGCGTCGGCATCAACATCAAATTCTCTGTCTCTGTAAACGTGGATGACCGCACACGCGCGCGCGACAGGCAAGCGGCGCAGCCTCACAGCTCAGGAGGGGCATCGCGAAGAGCGGCCGCAAGGAAGGCGCTCGACACGGCCGCTGGCAGTTGACCAGACGAGCAAGCAACAGCGAGTCGAAATGAAAACGAGTTTGCTCGGCAGGGTGCCAGAGCAAAAACATGATGCAGATGGTCCAATCATCACGTGTGTACTCTGCATGTGTCCCTCAATATTTCTGGGGGTACCTGTAGTCCTGGGAGGGTACCTGTAGTCCAGGAGAGGGGTAGCTGTAGTCCAGGGGGGGGGTACCAGTAGTCTGGGGTGGGGTACTTGTAGTCCGGGGGCAGGGTACCTGCAGTCCAGGGTGGGGGGGGGGGGGCCTGCAGTCTGGGGGGGAACGCGTGTTCACTCGTCAACGCACGCGTGGATGTAGTCCTGAACGGTACCTGCAGTCCCGGGGGGTACCTGTAGTCCGGGGGGGGAGGTACCTGTAGTCTTAGGTCGGGCATGTCCCCCTAATTACAAACGGATATTGGACGAAAAATAAAAAATAGCCAAAAATTGCCCCCAAATCCTAAACATAGTCAAAAATCGTGCCCAGACTTTTTTTCACTATTTTTGAATGTCCCTCCTGTGAAGGGACAGGCCCGACTTAATCCAACCATCACGTGTGTACTCCGCAACTCTCTTCGTGGCGTGGCCGAGCAGCCCACCGCGGGAAGCCACGACGCGCCAGCTGCCTCCAGCGCGCAGCGAACTGAACCAAACGAAGACAAAATTCGACTCTGCTGTGCACTGACGCCAGCCCGCTCCGTCCGACGCGCAGACGACCCCACCCCCCTTGGTGTAGGCGGGCGGGAGGTCTCGCACGCAGGGCACGCCGCTCAGCGCGCGTGCTCTCGGCCGGGGACCGAACTAATCCACGGGTCTTCGCTCAGACGCCGAGCGTGGCGTGCCGTGTCTTCGAGGTGGTAAGGAGCAGCCCTGGGCTGTAGCAGGAGCCTCTGAAGTCGCACCACCGCGCTCGTGCACGCAAGGACGCTCTGCACCTCCCCGCCGCTGGCAACATCCTCTTGCAACCAGAGATGGCCATCCCAATGGCCTGCACAATCGCCGTGCCCAACTCCGCAGAAAGGGCACGGTTGAACTGGCTGGCCCAGCACCGGCGCAAGCCGGCGTTGAGTCATTCTCCGTTCAACAGCCGCCGAATGAGCGTGACGCGATGTTCTGCAGGCGCAGGAGAGCGGGTTCGACGCAAATTCCGCTCGATCGGCGCCCAAGAGAGCCCCCGAGCTCGCAGCCTCCCAGCTCGGAAGAATGAAGCGCCCGATGCACTAAGCGAAGCATGCATACCTGGGGATCTACTGACCTGGGTCAATCCAGACCCAGGTCAGTCAGGCGCTGGAAGATCCTGCAGGATCCTGCGCCCAAGTCCGTGTCAATGCAACCCTGGCTCTGCAGGATCCTGCACAATCTGGCGCTCTGACTGGACCCCCGTTTGCATTGGCCCCCGCCCATTGAGCCCCGACACTTGTCCATGGCGCGGCCTCGCCTGGCGGCCTCAGCTAGGCACTTCGCTCACGATCTTTCGGGATACTGCGTAATTTGAAATGTCTGGGGGGGGTGCTGGAGGTCAGGAGGAACCGAGGGCGCGCGGCGCCAATCCCAACACGCCCCCCTCTGTGACTGCATAGGAGAAATCTGGCGAAAGAGCCAAGCTGCGTTCAGCGCTCCCAGGATTGTCCTCAAGTCAATCGCGTCCTAGTGCACCTCCCCCTTCTTGTCCTATTCCTCCAGTGTCCTCCTCATCCTCCTTCTTTCGCCCTCCCACACTCCCTCGACAAATTCATCGCTCCACTGAGATCATTCCCCTTCTTCCCTCCCTCCTCCCACCTCTCATCTCAATCTTCTCTCTAATCAACCTCCATCCCTCCGTTTCCTCCTCCTCCTCCTTCATCACTCACTCGGTCGCTTGCTCGCTCACTCACTCTCTCAACCACTTCCCCACTTCCCCCTCCTCCTCCACCCCTATCACCCCACGACCGGCGAACGAATGCGAGAAGCGCAACTGGGATCTCCTTCCGAACCTGATCCGCTTCTTGAAGTTTCGAGGAGCAATTAACGCACACACGAGGTCCCCCCTCCCCAGAAGGCTCTTCTTCCTCTCCCCTTCTTCTTCCGCAATGATCAGACATAGTTGCAGTCCCTCTGAGGGGACCCTGCCCGCGTGCTGAAAAGTTGAAGCCAGCGCATTGAAGTGCACGGGCGGGGAGGCATCCAGCCAAGAGCCCAGCGCGCCCGTCAATTTTGAAGGGGCCGCTCAAGAAATGCTCTCAACTTTGCAGAGGCCGCTCAACGATGACGCGTCGTCGAAGCCAGACGGCGTCGTCGCAAAAATTACGACTGGCCTTGTAAGACTGCGGCCCAGGAGAATTTCAGATCGGAGATACGGAAGAAGGGATATGATTGCCGATGCTGCATCGAATGCCGAAACGTCTGCAACCAAAAAGAATGCTGCACCATGTGCATCCAACGTGACATAATATCGTGCGAACCTGGAGGCGGATGGGGTTCTGCCGTGGCTAAATATCAGCCAAGACAGAGGACGGATGTAAAACCGGCTTGCAGTACCCAGCCAGAGAAAGCGGCCCCGAGTGGAAAAAAGGGCGAAATCTGCACCCAACGGTTGCCCACCCCATGCTGGAACCAATGGGGGGCCACCTCAGCTCCCTGGCCAGCTCCAAGTACACACCCTGTCCTCTCACTCGGCCTCCCCAGTCCTCCTCCGACACAAGACGAGATAAGACAACGCAGGGCAAGACAATGTATGACAAACAGCGTAACAAAAGGCAGACCAGGCAAAGCATTAAACCATCAAGAGAGAAAGCAATGTTTCGCGAAGAGCAGCACAGAGAGGGCGGTCCTGTATGATCTCGCCATTGGGCTTCCCGTTCGAGTCACGGGACCACCAGCCACTCACCCTCGTGCGGGAAGGCCGCTCAACTTACAATTACGGTGCGCTGTTTGACACTGCCTGCGCAACTGAAGCCTATTCTCAAAAGGCGAGTGGCAAGCCCTTCTAAGAACCAATGTTTGAACTTGAAGCAATACTGCAGCTCGAACCTGAATCGCATGCACCTGGCTAACTTAGTATACTGCGTGATCCCATTGAGGTCCAAGGTACAGCCAGCGTATGCCGTACCTGCGGCCATACCGAGGCAAACAAGCACACTGGACACCAGTGCGCGCCCTGGGGCCCAGAGAGCCTGCACTCGGCCAAGCAGCGACAGGCATGCAAAGGACCGAAGGCGAAGGTGAACCACAACACAAACGACGCCGAATAAACTGACGCGAGGCGGCGGCCACGCCTCCGCAAAACCTCCTCCTCCTCCTCCTCCTTCTCCTCCACGTCCTCCTCCTCCTCCTCGTGCCCCACCTCCTCCTCCTCCTCCGCCTCCTCCTCCTGCTCCTCCTGCTCCTGCTCCTCCTCCTCCTCCTCCTCCTCCTCCTACCCCTCCTCCTCCTCCTCCTCCTCATCCCCGACCCCCCTCCCCTCCTCCTCCTCCTCCTCCTCCTCCCTCTCCTCCTCCTCCCTCTCCTCCCTCTTCCTCCTCCTATTCTTCTCCCTCCTCCTCCTCTCCCTCCTCCTCCTCCCCTCCTCCTCCTCCTCCTCCCTCCTCCTCCTCCTCCTCTTCCTCCTCCTCTCCTCCTCTCCTCCTCCTCCTCCTCCTGCTCCTTCCCCTCCTCCTCCTCCTCCTCCTCCTCCTCTTCCTCCTCCTCCTTCTCCTTCTCCTCCTTCTACTCTTACTCAATATTAATACTACTCTCCCTCTTCCCCTGATGACGGCTTGAAAATGTTAGCACCCCCCCGCGTACTGTTTTTTTATACACCGGATTCCCCGGAGCTTGGTTTTCGCCTGCATATTTTCCCAAATGCTGCTCTCGCTGAGGCGCCGGCCTCATTTTCGGGCCCCGCTCGTTCCGAATCGTGCTCCCGCTGCAGCGCTGGCCTCATTTCCGCGCTTCTGCTCGTTCCGACTCGTGCTCCCGCTGCAGTGCTGGCGTCAATTCCCATGCCATGCCCCGGCATGCAATGCACTGCTAGGTTAATACTACGCTTTGCGGTGCGCTTCTACGCCATGCCATGTCGTGCTCTACAATGCATCGCCTACCCTTTCGGGATCATTGCCCTGCTCGACATCCGACTGTGCGAGTAGAGAGGGGATCTACGCCATGGTAAGGGATGGGAGGGAGGGGTAGGATGTCAGATATGACGCGAGCGCACCTAGCTTGCCTCCTCCTCCTCCTCCTCCTCCTCCTCGTCCTCCTCGTCCTCATCCTCCAGAGGCGAGCTGGATCCAGCAGGCAGCCGGCTATTGGCGGGGCCCGTCGGATGCGAGTGGGGCACAAGGGAAATGGAAGGCAGGAGGGGAAAGAGGGGATGGAGCGATGGAGGGAGGGAGGGTGCGATGGGGGCAGGAGGAGGAGGAGGAGACGGAGGAGGAGGAGGAGGAGGAGGAGGAGGAGGGAGGAAGAGGAGGAGGAGGAGGAGAGGAGGAAGAGGAGGAGGAGGAGGAGGGAAGGAGGAGGAGAGGAGGAGGAGGAGGAGAGGAGGACGACGACAAGGAGGATGAGGTCGAGGACGAGGAGGAGGAGGAGGAGGAGGAGAAGGATCGGGGAGGGGGGAGGAGGAGGGAGGAGGAGGAGAGGAGAGGGAGGGAGGAGGAGAGGAGGAGGAGGAGGGGAGGAGGAGGAGGAGGGAGGAGGAGGAGGAGGAGGAGGGGAGGAAGAGGAGGAGGAGGAGGAGGAGGAGGAGGAGGAGGAGGAGGAGCGGAGGAGCAGGAGCAGGAGCAGGAGGAGGAGGAGGGGAGGAGGAGGCTTGAGGAGGAGGAGGAGGAGAGAGGAGGAGGAGGAAGGAGGAGGAGGAGGAGGAGGAGGAGGAGGAGAAGGAGGAGGAGGGAGGAGAAGGTGGAGGAGAATGAGGAGGAGGAGGAGGAGGAGGAGGAGGAGAAGGAGGTGGACAAGGAGGAGGAGGAGGAGGAGGAGGAGGAGGAGGAGGAGGAGGAGCAGGAGGTGGACAAGGAGGAGGAGGGCCGCGAGATCGCCAGAGCGCCCTCAGAGCGTGAAGAACTCTGGAGTGTGCAAACGTCCGCAAACAACACGCCTGCAGTGACCAAGACTGTGCCGAGGAGTACATCTCCTGGGCGAGCAACAGGATCAGGCACTGCGGCCGCTGCCGATGGTGTGGCGGGGACTGAGTGCTGAGACGCCCAACAGGGAATGGCAGCAGCGAGGACACACGTGCGCGCGGGCACAGGTCCTCGGCCTTGGCGCAGGGGCGAGGGCGGCGCACACGAGGGCTGGGGGGCCCTCCGGGGCCCAAGGCCTGGCCGAAACCGGCGCGCTCCCTCGAAACGCCCACCGCGGCATCCCACTCTCGGCTACACGTAAGAGTGACCCCAGGCAAGAGTGACCTTTTAGTGCGCGAATGTCGGGAGGAACCGCGGAGAGGCCGCATCGGAGCGCGCAGGCCGCTGCCATCGCATCGCTGCCGGCCACCTGGGGACCCCGACGTACCCGCACCACAGGCCCCTCCGGCGGAGGGCCACTCTGACGGCTGGCCGAACCTTGGCTCAAGTCCACCGAAGTTTCGGCCGGCGCCCACGGGCTCTTCCTGGTGGCAGCCAGACCTCCCGCCAGCGCCGTGCCCGCGGGCAGCGGAGGCACGGCCTCGGGGGGTCCAGCAGGCCCTGCGGCAGGTCCCAGTGGTACAGCGTCGCGTAGGGCGTGATCCCCTGGGCTCCCGGAGCACCCTGCCCAGAGAGGTGTCGCTGCCCTCCCTCTGGCCCCCCGTCCTGCTCCCCGTGCCGCCGCTCCTCTCTCGTCTGCAGGGCAGCAGCCTCCCCCCCGAGAAAGAGAGAGAGAGAGAGATGAGCAGCAGCACCGACGAGAGAGGTAAAGAGAACACGAAAAAAGAGAGCGAGCGAGCGAGAGAGAGAGAGTATATATATATATGTATAGTATACACCTATGCGACCACTCTGCGGGTGATAAGGAGGTGGGGGGGAGGGGGCCAGCAGTGGGCAACAGTGGTGATTGTTGTTCTGACGATGCCAGTGGAGATCGTTGCGTTGCCGCTCGCTCTTGGGATCCTTGGTGTCGAGTTGTTTACGTCACCCTTCGCTCTTGGGCGCCTTGGTACCATTCCCCCCCCCTCCCCCAGGAACCAACCAAATAATAAATGACCTATACGACCACCCTGCGGGTGATAAGGAGGTTGGGGGGTGGAGGGGGGCCAGCAATGGGCAACAGTGGTGCCACGATCGATCTCACGATCGATCTCACTATCGATCTCACGATCGATCTCACTATCGGTCTCACTATCGATCTCCCTATCGATCTCACAATCGGTTTCGTCATCGGTCTCACTATCGTTTTCGCACCAGCGGGACAGCGGGACACCGGCGGGACACCGGCGGGACACCGCGCGCCACCGCTTGCCGGAGGGAGAATCATTTGGTCGGGCCGGGGCCCAGCCACAAGCGGGACACCGGCGGGACACCGCGCGCCACCGCTTGCCGGAGGGAGAATCATGTGGTCTGGCCGCGCCTCAGCCACAGGAGACTTCCCTCTCGCCCGCCCACGCAGCTTCGCCTCGCCCGCACGCACGACACGCACGAACACGAAACCGAAACCGATTTCCCGGTGGGGGGCTCTCCGTTCCACTTCGATCTCACCCCCCAACCTCCGATCTCACTATCGATCTCACAATCGGTATCATTATCGATTCACTATCGATCTCACTATCGATCTCACTGTCGATCTCACCACGGGACACCACGGGACAACGACGGGACAACGGCGGGACACCAGCGGGACACCAGCGGGACACCGCGCGCCACCGGTTGCCGGGCGGAAAACCTTTTGGTCTGGCCGCGGCCCAGCCACGACGGGACACCGGCGGGACACCGGCGGGACACCAGCGGGACACCAGCGGGACACCGGCGGGACACCGCGCGCCAGCGGTTGCCGGGCGGAGAACCTCTTGGTCCGGCCGCAACCCAGCCACAGGAGAATTGCCTCTCCCCCGCCCACGCAGCTTCGCCTCGCCCGCACGCACGGCACGAACACGAAACCGAAATCGATTTCCCGGTAGGGGGGCTCTCCGTTCCACTTCGATCTCACCCCCAAACCTCCGACTTCGTTCATTTTGCAAGGGCTTGGGGGGCCGTTTGGGCGCGTCTTTTGGACCTCTTGGGGAGCCTTGGTGTTAAGAACCTTGGTGTGAAGAGCCTCAATATCGATCTCACTGTTGATCTGACAGTCGATGTCAGTATCGATCATCCTATCGATCCCACTATCGTTCTCGCTTTCCCTCTCATCGATCTAAGTATCGATATCATTATCGATCTCAGCACGTGAAACCACGGGACACCGACGGGACATCGATGGGACACCGACGGGACACAATCGATCTCAGTGTCGATCTCACTATCCATACCACTATCAGTCCCACTATCGATCCCGCTGTCGATATCACTATCGATCTCGCTTTCGATCTCACGATTCATCTCACTATCGATTCCACTATCGATCTCGCTATCGATCCCACTCGATCGATCTTACTACCGATATCACGATCGATCTCACTATAGATCTCACTATCGATCTCTCACTATAGATCTCACTATCGGTCTCACTATCGGTCTCATTATCGATGTCACTATCGATGCCACTATCGATTTCACTGTCGATCTCACCATGGGACACCACGGGACAACGACGGGACACAAGCGGGACACCAGCGGGACACCAGCGGGACACCGCGCGCCACCGGTTGCTGGGCGGAGAACCTTTTGGTCCAGCCACGGCCCAGCCACAGGAGAATTGCCTCTCCCCCGCCCACGCAACTTCGCCTCGCCCGCATGCACGGCACGAGCACGAAACCGAAATCGATTTCCTGGTGTATATATATACACTGAAACCACGCGCGCGCTTCGCGCGCACTTAGGTTGTAGTCACACTCGCGCCTACTCTTAACATTGGCAATGCCGCCACGGCTACGACTTCTTTTTGCGCCATCACCGCGTTCACGATCACTTCCGATTCCATGTCCATTCTGGGCATGACCACCTTTTCCACGACGATTGCACTTTCCGCGACCATTGTAACGGCCATGCGTTCAATCTCCGCCTGTACCACCACCAATACCACGTCCATTGCCACTGCCACTGCCGCGACCACCACGACCACCATCATCACCACCACGGCCAGTGCCACCGCGTCTACCATCGTATTCATCGGTAGCACCACAATCGGCGCACGAACTGCAGTCATCTCCACCTGGACCCCATCCGGGGCTGTCCTGGGTGAGGAGAGAAAGGTCGGCACGCCCGCCCCGGGGTCGGGTTGCCACCATCCTTTTTTGGTGGGCCCGGGGCCGGTTCAGGGGCACCGGTGGCCGAGAACGGCCTCAGGAAGCGAAGAGTTGCCCGGAAGCTTCGGGAGCAGCAAAAGTACCCGAGGGCGTCCGGTTAGAGGGTTGTGTGGGGCCTCTTGGGGGCCTCTCGGGGGTCCATTGGAGGGTTCTTGGAAGCCTGTAGGGGCCGCTTGGGGGCCCCCTGGGGGCCTCTCGGGGCCGAGGGCCCGCAAAGTCAATCGGATCCCCTGTCTTGGGGGCCTCTTGGGCCGTCTTGGGCGGCTCTTGGGCCGTCTTGGGGCTCCTTGGAGGCCTCCTGGGCCGTCTTGGGACTCTCTTGGGCCGTCATGGGGCTGCCTTGGTGGCCTTTTGGCCAGTCTTGGAGCTCTCTTGGGGGCTTCGAGGGCCGTCTTGGAGCGTCGGAAAGCCAGGAAAGCGAGAAAGCAAAAAACTATGAAAAACAAATGAACATCAACGATTTTGGCTTCGTCGGGCCATCTCGGAACGCCTCTCAGAACTCTCTTGGAGCCGTTTGGAAGTCTATTGGGCCGTCTATTTGCCCTCTTGGGCCCATCTTTGGCCCTGTTGGGGCCTCTGGGCCGTCCTGGAAGGGTTTTGGAGGCTCCCGGGGAGCTTCTGGGGGCGTCTTGGAGCTCTCTGGGGCGGTCTGGCGTCTCCAGAAGCGTTTCGGGGCCATCTCAGGAGCGCCCTAGAGGCCATGTACCCGCATGCGCTGTCGTGGTCGCGGCCCCGGGCCCCCGGCCTCGTGCACACACACACACATATATATATATATATATACATACATACATACATACATACATAAGTATACATATACATATGATATGCATACATATTCATATACGTATCCACAAGCATAGACATGTATATACCTATGCTTATGCATATAAACGTAGGAATATGCATGCACCTGTACATGTACACATACATTTAAATAAACACATCCAAATGCAGTATACCTTACATGTGCTATATTTATACGTTGTATACTATACACTATGCATGCACACATACACATACCAATACATATACATATCCGTACACACAAACGTATACACATACATATACACATGCACCTATACCTATGCGTGTGCAGACGCCCCAGCCACGCTGGGATTAAACACGATGCCCACTATAGATAATCCTTGCATGCAGGTGTTGGGTTTCGATGGACTGGCCATGGTCGTTTTGATAGAGCCCGTTTTTGTTGTTCGCGATTAACGCCCATGACCGGCCCCGCCCCCACCGTCCCTCCCCCCTTGGCCACGCCACGATTCGCGCCGGCGCCGTGCACGAATTAGCCATCGCAGCACATTTCCAGACGGCGCTGGCGCTAATCGTGGCGTGGCCGCCCCCCCCCCCTCCCCCCTCTGTCACGCCCGTTATCGCCAGGGGACAAGGAAAAACGGTCTCATGGCGTCAGCACAGAGGAGAGGGGGAGATGCGAGGCGGCGGGCGAGGCTGGTCAGCCAGATTGGCAGGGCCACCTCTTCTGTGGTGCTTTGACCAGTGCACACGCCTGGGCCACGCTCGGACTAAACCCGATCCCCACTGCAGATCCACTGCTATTGTGGGGCATAGGTGTCAGGATTGCCCATGGCATCCGCGATGGCAGCAGCGGGGGAGAGATGGGAGGCGGCGGGCGCGGCTGGTCAGCTGGATTGGCAGCGCCACTTCTTCTGTGGGGCCTTTACCAATGCGCACGGTCGGGCCACGCTCGGACGAAGTATGGTTCCCACAAAACTGCTTGCTGATCGATGTGTGCATGTATATATCTATAGAGAGGGAGAGAGATACATAATCCAAGATGGCCCCGAGATGGACACTTGGGCCCATCTTGGGGCCATCTTGGACCATCTTGGCGGCCTCCAGGGCCGTCTTCAGGCCATCCGGGGTTGTTTTGGAGCCGTCTTGGGAGCCTCTGGAGCGCTCTTTCAGCTATTATCGAAGCGTCTGGGGCTCCTCATCGAAGCATCTGGAGAGTTCGTTCGGATCTCGTGGCAAGTCTTTCGGGGGCTTCCTTGAAGCAGGTCCGAAGCCTCTTGGGGCCCGTTTCGGTGCCTGTTGGGGCTTGTTTTGGGGCCTCTTGGGGGTCTCTCGGAGGCATCTTGGAGACCTTGGGGGCCTCCCAGAGGCTTGTGGGAGCCTCCTGGGGGCCTCTTGGGTCCGAGGACTCGAAAAGTATGGTCGGATCCCCCCTCCGGGCCCCTCCTTAGACTTGTTTCGGGGCCATCTTGGGCCGTCTTGGAGGCCTCTTGGGCCGTCTTGGGGCCCCGTTAGGCCATCTTTGGGCCGTCTTGGAGGCCTCTTCGGTCGTCTTGCAGCGTCGGGAAGCAGAAAAAGCGAGAACCCCAAAAACCTTCAATAACCATAGAAAAAACAACAATTGTTGTCCATTTCTGTCATCGTAGGAAGCCTCTTGGAGGTCCGGGGCGTCTTGGAGGACTCTTGGGCCGTGTTGGGGTCATATTGGGCTTCTCGGCGCGATCTTTGGCCGTCTCGAGGCTCTTTTGGACCATCTTGGGGGCCTCCTGGGGCCGTCTTGGAAGGCTTTTTGGGCGTCTTGAGGCCCCTAGGAGCGACCCACCAGCGACCAACCCGGGACCCACCCGCGCCCCGGCCCGCGACCCACCCACATTGCTTTTAACGGCGCCTGCGGCGAGCTCGTTGCATAATTTTAAAAAAGTGGGCGCCTGCGGCAGGCTTCTTCAGAGCCTCACAGACTGCAAAAGTCGCCGCCGCCCCTTCACCCTTATCCGCGACTGCGGGGTGCTACGTATAAACAAAGCCGTACTGGGACTTCCCGGGGGTGACGAAGGATCGGCGGCTGAAAGACCAAGAGATCCGAGGATATGTTTTTTTCAATCTGGCGTTTTTTCTTTTAATTCCAGGTAATTGGGGTCGTTCGAAAGGGGTGCGCAAAACACAGCCGCAATAGTTGATTCTGCGGTTCATGGCGCCTGGCACCCTTCACGGACTCCTGATGTTACGAGCAACAAGCCCCACGCACATCCCGTTGGAGGCACTGCGCCCTAAGGCAAGCATCTTGGATTTCGGCCTCCGGGGCCCCGTCATCGGGCCCGGAGACCATCAAACATGGATTTGGGACGAAAAACCAATCCCGGGGAAGGGGTCGGGACCTCCGGGGCCGCGGATTGAAGAAAACAGATCGGCGGATGTCTGGGTGACGAAGGATCGGCGGTTCAAAGACGTATGCAAGGAAACGAATAATGACATCAACATACAAACTCGTAGGTCCGCGCGGGGCGCCGCCAGCGGGCCGTTTGGGTAGCTCTTGGGTCCCGCTCAGGTGTGTCGTGGAGGCCTCGTGGGGCCTCTGGGGGTCTCTTTGGGGCTTCCCTGGCCTTTCTTGGGGCCTTCTGGGGGCCTCTTAGGCCGAGGGCCGAAAAATCCGTTCGGATCCCCCGTCTTGTCTCCTCGTAGAGCCGTCTTGGGGCGCTTTCAGGCCGTATTGGAAGGTTCTTGGGCTGCCTTGGGGCTCGCGTGGGCCGTCTTGGGGCTGTTCTGGGAGCCTCTTGAGCGGCCTTGGGGCGATCGTGGGGTCCTCTTGGGCTGTACAGAAACCTAGCATTCTGCCTCTTTGAGCCATCTAGGGAAACCTCTTGGAAGCCTCTTGGGCCACCTTGGAGTCGTTTTGGATTCGTCTTGGGCCGTCTGGGGACTATCTTGGGCGTCGAGCAGCTAGCGTTGTGCGTATCGGAGCTCTTTTGGACGATCTTGGGAGCCCGCTGGGGCTGCTTGGATGTCTCTTGGGCCGTCTTGAGGCCCGTTGGCGGCCCGGGGAGGCGGTATTAAAAAAGGGGCCCGGATGTTAGAGAAGTGGGCGGGGCCCTGTTTGGAGGGCCCGGTACTCATCCATCATAAAAAACGGGCTGACCTCCTCTGGCAGCCACGTCGCCACGGTTGGAGTCCCCTCGAAAGTCTGGCCCAAACACATTCCACAACAGGTCCTGGGGTTGATGTTGTACTCCTGGGGCCCGAAAACGGGCCCCTTGGGGCCGAAAACTGAGAAAAGCCTTCTCGAACTCCGAGCCCCGAATCTCTACCAAAAAACCTACGAACAGTTTCAAGAAGAACCGACGACGACGACGACGACGACGCCCACGATGACGACGACGACGGCAAGGGGCAAGGCGTGGATCCTCGCCCCCCCGAAGCAGATGTTCCCAGAGGCCCCTCAGGGAACATCTCCCAGAACCGCCCAGGCCCGAGATGTTTGCGCGACGGCGTCTGCGTAGCGCGGCGTGAACGCAACTGCATGGACGGAGGGGGCGGGGGTGGCGCTCCTGTTGGGGCCTCTTGGGGTCTTTTGGGGGCCTCTTGGAGACCTCCTCGGGGCCTCTTGGGGGGCCTCTTTGGCGAGTCTTGTGGCTCTCTCGGGGCCTCCTGGGAAGCTTTCAGGCCGGAAAAATAAAATTGTGACTTTTTGTTCCCCCTCGTGGGCCCCTCTGGAAGCCTTCTCGGGGCCCTCTTGGGCTTTCTAGGGCCCTCTGGGGCGCCTCTTGGGCTGCCTTGGGGCTGTCTTCAGGCCGTCTGGGGGGCCTCCCGGGCAGTCTCGGGGCGCTCTTGAGGACCTGTTGGGCCTTGTTGGAGCGTCGGAAAAGTAAAAAGGCAATCAACACCAAAACTGTAGAAACACACAATGGAAAATCATCGATTTGGGCCT